CCCATTTCCCCCACTCTCCCCCGTGCCCCCCAGTCCCCCGTACCCCAGCCTGAAGACGTGTTTGCGTTTGCGGTAGGCGGTGGCCGGCTGGCAGCGGGCGCCGCGCAGGGGGGCGGGGGGCTCGCCGTGCCACGGGACCCCCGCGCCCGCCCCCCGCGCGTCCTTGAACACGCTCAGGACCCCCCCCCGCAGCACGCAGTACAGGCTCTGCCAGGACCTGGGGGGCAGGGGGGGTTCAGGGGACCCCCACCCCCCCAGCGCACAGCCCCCATCCCCCAGAAACTCATTTGGGGCGGGGGTCCCCAAAATGCTGCAGGGGGGCAATGAAAATGTGGATTTTTTTGTAGAAAAATGAGGGGTTTGGGTTTGTTTGGCAGAGATTGACTCAAGGGACCCCCCCCCACCCCAGATTAATGGGAGTGATCCCCAAAATCGGGGAGGGGGGGTTGAAATGAGATCCCACCCCCAAAAAGGAAAAGGGGAACAAAAAGAGGAGGAATCTGCCCAAAGTTAAAGAAAATCTTCCATAATGTGAGAAAATCCTCCAAAATTACAAAAAATCCTCAAAAAATGACAGAAAAACCACCCAAAATCCAAGGGAGCCACCTCCAAATTAAACCTGAACCCCGCCCAAAATGGTGGGCGGGGTCCCAAAAAAGGCCCCCAGACTAAAGGAGAAGAGGGAAAGCCCCCAAAATGGGGGGGGAGGAGGGACGGGATGAATTTGGGTGCCCCCTCCCCAAATCTTGGGGCATGCTGGGCCGTGTCCCCAGGGTATCCCCAAGGTGTCCCCAAGGCCAGGCCATGTCCCCAGGCTGTCCCCAGGTGTCCCCAGGATATCCCCAGGTGTGTCCCCAAGGCCAGGCCGTGTCCCCAGGTGTCCCTAGGCTGTCCCAGGTGTGTCCCCAGCTGTCCCCAGGTGTGTCCCCAAGGCCAGGCCATGTCCCCAGGTGTCCCTAGGCTGTCCCAGGTGTGTCCCCAGGTGTGTCCTCAAGTCCAGGCCGTGTCCCTAGGCTGTCCCAGGTGTGTCCCCAGCTGTTCCCAGGTGTGTCCCCAGGTGTCCCCAGGTGTGTCCCCAGCTGTCCCCAGGCTGTCCCCAAGGCCAGGCTGTGTCCCCAGGTGTCCCCAGCTGTCCCAGGTGTGTCCCCAGCTGTTCCCAGGTGTCCCCAGCTGTCCCAGGTGTGTCCCCAGGTGTCCCCAGGTGTCCCCAGGTGTCCCCAGGCTGTCCCCAAGGCCAGGCTGTGTCCCCAGGTGTTCCTAGGCTGTCCCCAGGCTGTCCCCAGGCTGTACCCAGGCTATCCCCAGGTGTGTCCCCAAGGCCAGGCCGTGTCCCTAGGCTGTCCCAGGTGTGTCCCCAGCTGTTCCCAGGTGTGTCCCCAGCTGTCCCAGGTGTCCCCAGGCTGTCCCAGGTGTGTCCCCAGCTGTTCCCAGGTGTGTCCCCAGCTGTCCCAGGTGTCCCCAGCTGTCCCAGGTGTGTCCCCAGGTGTCCCCAGAGCTGTCCCCAGGTGTCCCCAGGCTGTCCCCAAGGCCAGGCTGTGTCCCCAGGTGTCCCCAGCTGTCCCAGGTGTGTCCCCAGGTGTGTCCCCGCTGTCCCCTGACCTGTTGGCCGCTCTCTTCCCGGCCGCCTCCAGCTCCTGTTTCCGGCTCAGGGTCCCCTCGAGGGTCTCGGGCTGGGGGGGGGCGCGGGGGGGCAGCGTGGCCGCCCCTCCCCCCGGGCCGGGCCCCCCCTCCTGCGCCCCTCTGGGGA